ACACACACACACACACACACACACACATATATATATATATATATATTTGTGTGTGTGTGTGTGTGTATGTGTGCGGTGTGTATGTATACACATGTGTACGCACGCACGCACACGCGCACGCACACACAGGGAACGAAATGTCTCCCCAATTACGTGCACAACGGCATACGCTATATGTACGCGAGCGTTCGGTTTATTATTTCTGAAGTGCCTGCAAACTGTGAGTATATCGGTCTTAAACTAACATTTAGAATTCACGTCTTGTTCTCAAGTGGGCACTTCTACGGGACTGTGAGCCCGAGCTCGCCTCACAATACAAGCACAAGGGCCGTTACGGCGGCTTTTTCCACAGTTACTATTCAGTTTTCGACGAGCATTAAACTGCCGGCCGTTTCTTTATTAGCCGTGCTTTTCTATTGAATATTCTGAAGCGTATGAGGTTGACGCTGCTTTGTGTCAAGAACGCGTAGCGTGTCGTAGGCGTTCTCACTCACAGTTACGTGGGTTTCACGCCTTGATTTCATTATTCCGCTGTATATGCGAGCGTACGTCGCTTGGCTGAGCGGCCAACACGCACACACGCACGCGCACGCACACACCCACACACAGACATGTACACACATGGACACGCACACACACACACACACACACACACACACACACACACACACACACACACACACACACACACACATATATATATATATATATACATGCACGAACGCACGCACGAATGCACGCACATGAGCATACCCGCACATCCCCTCGCCGGTCGCGGATCAAATATCTTTCACTATACGTCGAAAAATATTTGAAGGAGAAATCGTTTATTTTACACGCTGCGAAATCAAAGTTAAGATGCCATGCGTGATCTTCATTCCATACGCGCTGACGCATTTTAATTTGAATGCGGTGGTATTTTAGAAAGAATGAATTTATTTTAAATGGTTTTTAAACCGAATTTTATTTGTGTTCACTAGGAAGCAAAAACGTGCTTGCACATAAAGTTTCGCCATAATCTGGAGTCGATGTCATTGAAACTGAAGTGGGTTTATTGCAGCTGTGCTGTCTTACTAACCGTGGCCCATATTACACGTATAAATCATAATATGGGGTAGATCTGATATGCTAGCGCTGTACCCTGCAGCGATCTATATAACATGAGGCTTGTGTAAGCGTACACTTCACTGTCATTTTCAGCTCGAAGACGAACGATATGGATGTACAGGTTTATTCAAATAATAAAAAGTGAGAATGCACAAAATAAACTATATAATCTTGCTGAATTGTGTAATGTACATTTAGGACGAGAATAGACGGACTCGAAACGTGCGAGTGTGCGTGCGTGCACGCGTGTGCGTGTGTGGGTGTGCGCGCGTGTGTGTTCGCGTAACAGGAACATTTATGTACATGCGTAAATGTGTGTGGCCGCGTTTTTGTGTTTGTGTGTGCGCATACGTGATGTACAGTCCGCATCGACGCACAGCACGCACGCACGCACGCACGCACGCACGCACAGCCCGACAGCACACGCACATCACGCGCGTGCACGCGCGCGCCCGTATACACGCACACGCTGCACGCGCCGTTTAAGCTAGCACCCCGCCACGCCAGCACGCCGCGCCCGCGTCTCTATACCGACTTCCAAATCCCGGTGCTGGACATTATATTCGCTCGAGATTATACCATACACGCCACGCGTCCGGATTTCCTAGCTATTTTGATCGCACAATAATTCGGCGAAAACGAGCGCTTTGGGGCTCGATATTGTCAGGTAATGGCCACAATATGCGACTTAATACTTGCAATTACCCGCTAGCCATTGTCTATACACAATGTCGCCAAGTGATCGAGTATGATTCAATGCCTCGAGGTGTTTTATGGTGGGAGGAAAGAGACACTCGAGGTATATATGTGTGTGGGTGGGGGTGCGGCGGTTATGGCACAGCTGAAGTGGGTGCTGAGGAACCGGCGGCAAAATAACGTTGTCGTTGTAAAAACGACGAATATTTGAATGCAAATAGGTTTTATGTCCGATCGGTGTCCCCACTCGATGTTGTCACGCACGCTTACTGTCGCACTGTCTCCTTCCCGCACCACTTGTCTCTATGGTTGACTTAATAGCGCACTCGTTTTTAAACGCACACCGCTATTACGTCTAAATTATCATCAAAGGCTTTGTAATATTATACTGAGCGTGTACATTGTTTTGCTAATAAATGCGCGCCGTAAAATGTAAATCGGTAAATGTAATTAGCATTGTGTATGTTAATTGACGCTAATCATATTTGTGGGCGTAATTATATTTAGCTCTTAAATAAGCCCCGCATCCTTGACATGCAGAAAATCGCAAATCAGAATAAAAATATAATGCCAACCGCCGCTTTGTTTTGCCTATACGTTGTGTGATGCATCCGTGTTTGTGGTGAATGCTATTCATGCTCTGTTCCCTTATATATATATATGGGGATCGAGGAATTAGACACAACTGTTTATTACATAAGAAAGGTTCGTTCATTTTATTTAATCGTATAGCTTAGCGCGTGTATGGCCTGTGAACGCGCATGCGCACTCGTCTGCGGTGACGTAACTAAAACGTGTATATTTTGTGTAAATCGTTTGCGGATTGCAATTAATAGCGAGTATAAACAAATATATACAAGTCCAGAGAAAAGATATCACGTTACAATAACCAACTGAGTTTATTTCACGTATATAGAGACTTTTTGATTACAGGGAATGAATGATTTATACCCAAGCAGGAGATTTTATAACCGCTATATAATAATACCGTAATCCAAATCCTACAGTCCACGTTTGAGTCGGTATCTGATTTCATTCTATTATAAATACGTAAAACATCAATGGAGGCAGAATAATATGGGCAACAAAGGCTACATTTTTACAACATATTACATCATTATTTACACGACTGTACAAGACTCTGACGTGCAGCGTTTAAACACAAAAATTGTCTCAGCAAACGCGAAGTACACACACACACACACGCGCGCGCGCGCACACGCACGCACGCGTTCTCGATGTACGCACGCGCGCTTGCTCTACGCACACGCACGCACGCGCGCACGCACGCACGCGCGCGCGCGCTTGCTCTACGCACACGCGCGCTCGCACGCACGCATGCACGCATGCACGCGCGGCCTCGCTCTACGAACACACTCGCGCGCGCGGGCATCGAACGCCGCGTCCGTTCATCGTACAGCGCACTATATGTAAGCAATACCCGCAGGTTAACGACGTGCTACTCATGGGAGCGAGAGAAGGAGAGATCGAGTCTATGTAGCTCCACGTTAACTCCGAACAGGCGCGAGCGAGCTCTCCCCTCGCACGGACGCATTCGTGCGCACACCGCGAACCGTCGCTAATTTTGATTTAACAGTGGATTTTTATTTTGCTGTATATATACACGAGTGAGTGAGTGAGTGAGTACGCGAGCGCACACGAGCGCTGCACGGCTGCACCGCGGCGGATCGCTGTGTGGCGTGTTCGCACGCATGCATGCCCACGCCATGGAGATAGCGCAGCGCTAGAAACAAACACGTAACCGCAGCTCGCCGCACAGGTATCACGCTGTCGGTCCCTAACTACACACAGTGTGTCGCTCACACTGAGCCCCACGACGATTTTGATTCGTATAACGGTGAAATCCAACATGTACAATATTTACATCCTATAATATAACACTTTCTCTCTGCTGCTGCCACAGTCGTCCGTCCACACGCTGACGGCAAACTTAAGTGGTTTCTAATTTTCTCACCTAATATGTATACTCGAAGAAATAAAATACACGATAATTATTATCATAATTATTATTATTATATATAATTATTATTTTTTACGACATATATATACAGGAATTCTTTTGATTTTATTACTGGAAACAATATCGAGAGACAGCGCCTGACCGCGGAACCATCAGGCCGTAACGCAGGTCGGTGCATTCGGGAACGGTTGTCATGGAGATGACACCTTTTATTTATATATACAAACGTACGCGGTAAACCCTGTTCATATGTCCAAGGGACTGCTAAGACCTTCGCTATTTATAACGACTTTCATTCAACACTTTTTCTTTCCATCGCACAGACCGCTATATGGATATACACGACCATCGGCCAATGCGACGCTCCTAACGCAAATCCAAATCAAATGCCGTAATCATTTCCTCGCGGGATATCCGCTCGACAATTTTCGAATATTTCATCGAATATTTCGAATATATATAACATTCGCGATAGCAGGGGAGGGCTTACTCGTGGCAATAACGTCCATGACGTCTCCATGTCGAGGCATATTCTGGTTGTTATTACGTCGGTGCACACGTATGGGCGAACGTCCTTCGCACCTATACGATGACGTTACGTGTTTATGCTAATAATAAAAATTTCATTAACCCCTTGCGATATGAATCGCTGACGTCACGGACGCATCCGAAGTCGAGTGGTGACGCACTATATATATATATATATAGAGAGAGAGAGAGAGGAGGGAGGGGAGGAGGGAGAGAGACAGAGGAGAGAGAAAGCGCGCACGAGAGAGAGAGAGGATGAGGGAGAGGAACAGAGAGAGAGAGGGGGCGTCGGCAAAGGATGAAACAGAAGAGAAGAGACGACACGGCCAAGCAATGTGGGTGCCTATCTTCCCGCCCTCCCGTCCGTCCGCCCTCCCGTCCGTCCGTCCTCCCTCCCTCCCTCCCGCCTTCACACTCTTCTCGCTCCAGACGCTCTGATTGGTCTCTAGCTTCTTCGTCAGTTAACTTCTTATTGTTCGCTGTCTCGCGTATATTGATCCCGAGCGATAACTATCTTTCTTCTCGTTCGTGCGCTTTTTACATCTACAATACCGCCGGCTCGAGCGCGCGAGCGTACGTACCTCAACTGCACAATTTAATGACGCAAATGAAGCGGCATTCAGTGCATCGGGGATAATTAGCGAAGCTTCAGTGAGAAATATTACGCGAAATGGGTTTAATACGGTGGAAATATCTCGCCTCATCGTCGGTGCCGACAATCGGTGTCCCAACGGGGTTCGATCGAGACAGATCTATGGCTGGGGGAGGGGGAGAGGGTTACGTGCCTACAGCACATAATCACGGCCACTTCTCACGCGAGCGAGAGAGGCTGGGGGTAGTTGCCGCAGCTGCATTTTGAGCAGTAAAAAGATAGTAGCGTAATTTGCGATCGTTGCGGTCCGTAAAAAAGGGAACATCAAATCTTGAAAGGCGTTCACGAGTCGATATGACCGATTAACGCATCGCGCAAAGACTTCATCGCCTTCAACGTAAAAAATGTACGGCGCCCGGGAAATAAGTTAACATAAGCGGGTAGTAGGTGCGTGCGTTCAAGACCCCGATTCTTAACTTTCACACTTGGTTTAATACAAAATAATTTCGGCCATCGAACGGTGCAATATATAGCTTTTCAGTGCGTATACGTCATATCATGAACGGGGCATGCGAAACATCGATTTTTTAAGTGTGGATGTTAAAAATATCGCCGCTGCGAGTGCAGTAAAAACATGTAACGTGACCAAACGTGTACACACAAGACATTTTAAGAATATTGACGTTAACGCGGGGTGTTGTCGGCTACCGACGTACGAAGCACAACATAGAGCCGCTCCGAACACGCTGATATACGTATTATAATATATATATGGCGATTTATCGGGCGTGTTTTGTAGCGGCAGTCTTCATGATATAGAGCGGTAGTTTGAGCAAGAGTGGTGTTGCACCACGGATCATGACACACATACACACACACACACACACAGCTCCGTCACACACATGCACGCACTGCACAGCAGAGAGTTAACTGCATTGACCTCCTCGCCCATGAAGCTCAATGAGTTACGCCTTATCCCCTCTGACTTGATGGTAGCGCATATATTATTATTATTACCTACCCCCTCTCTCCCCCTGTCTCTCTCTCTCTCTCTCTCTCTTTCTCTCTTCCTCTTTCTCATTCTCTCTGTCTCTCTCTGTGTCTCTGTCTATGCCTCGATTATTCCGGAGTTTCGTAATTTGGAAGTGCGCACTCGCACCTTTGTGTAGGGGGCCGTTATTGGGCGTGAAATCTAATTTCCCGGAGTCTAATATTTTTTCGACATGATGACAAATTTCGGAATTATTATTATGCGCAATATCGAGCATTTTTCCTTTAGTATTACGAGCAAAAGACGCAGAGCGTTCACCGATGAGAAACTAAGGCACCGTCTTTGGTTTGCGTCGGTCACGTCACACTAAGACCAGCGTCGCGTTAGCTACTATTATACCTATTAATACTGTGCGTGCAATATTGTGGATGGATGGTGGTGTAACATTCCGTTGTGCAGCGGCAGGCCGCCGAGCCCCGTGACGGGCGAGTGTTCGTTGCTCGGCGGCGTCGGCATACCCGCGTGCGTCTGCGACTGACACACGTACCACTCGCTCAGGTTGGTCGTGTGCGAACCGGAAGTGATTGTCGTGTTACCTCCGCTCGTCAGCGATGGCTGCAGCGGCGCCGGATGTGACGTCACGCAGTGCTGACCGCCTGATTGGTGCTGCTGCTGCTGCTGCTGCTGCTGCTGCTGCTGCGGCGGCGGCGGTTGCGGCGAGTTGGGGTTGCTCTCCGTCTGTCCGTCGAAGGAACTGTTCGGCGACTCGGGCGACTTGCCGTGCACCTTCATGTGCTTACGCAGCGAACTCGGGTGCGTGTAGCTCTTGTCGCAGCCCCGAATCTTACAATTGTACGGCTTGTCGCTCGTGTGCACGTGCGAGTGCTTTTTCCGGTCGGAGCTGTTGGCGAAGCGTCGATCACAGCCCTCGTACTCGCACTTAAACGGCTTTTCACCTGCAAGAGAAAAGAAGCCACACGTCGTTAGTTCCTATAAGATTATTATCTCACTGAAACGCGCAATGATGAGCACATATATTCGAATGAGTGGGTACTTTTCCTTTCGTGACGCAATTGCGAGTTCTCGCATGCGATGTTGTCGTGGTTGAAAGGATGGAAGCGCAATAACACAATGTCTAATATATATATATATATATATTCTTGCGTTAGCAGCAACGGACAACGACGTGAAATAGGATTACGTCGTTTGAGAATATTCTTTCTTACTTTAGTTATTAAACATAGTACTTTCTTTCTGTCTCGCTCTTCTTCTTCTCTCTTCTCCTCTCTCTCTCTCTCCTCTCTCTCTATATATATATATATATATAGTATATATATATATATTATATTATATAATATATATATATTGTGTGTGTGGTGTGCGGTGTGTGTGTGTGTGTGTGGTGTGTGTGTGTGTGTGTGGTGTGTGTGTGTGTGTGTGTGTGTGTGTGTGGTGGTGTGTGTGTGTGTGTGTGTGGCGTGCGTGTTTTGTGGTTGTTCGTGTGTGCGCGCGCCGCTTGGCGTGCGTGCGTACGTTGTGCGCGCAGTGTGCGCAGTATTTCGCGTGTACGCGCTCTAGTCTATGCGAGCTATGAACAATTATTATGATACGCCACAAATTTGCTTATTACCGGCTTGCATATTAATATCTCCAGAGTAAATCGAACAGCGTTATGCCAACAGCGTATATCTATATACTATAACCCACAAAACACGCCCGCGATCTGCCATGCAGCTCAAACGCTGGTTGGCCCGCAATCGATACTAATGGATGCTAATTACAGCAAATACGCCAATCGAAATGTTAAGTAGCATTCAAGCCACGCTCGTCCGATATGCCCCCCATTATGCTACGGTCCACGGAAGAGAAACTCGGAGCGAAATGCGTCCACGGACACAACGTGCGCATACAGTCAGCGCTGTGTATAGTAGATACAGCTAAACTGCGCTGTGCAGGACGTTATGCGAATCACGCCCACGCCCCCATCCGTATCTGTGCTCAGTAACTTGATTACGCTTCACACTGCTGGCTAAAATTTCCGTTTAACTTCGGCAAGTGCGTCTAATAGGCGCCATAAAGTCATAAAGCGATCACTTTTTTCGCGCTCGCTGGTTCATGGACAGAGAATGAGGGGCGAGAAAAGAGAGAGGGGGAGGGGGGAAAAGAGAGAGAGCGAGAGAGAGAAAGAGAGTGAGAGAGAGAAAGGGAGAGAGAATAAGAGAGAAAGAGAGATAGAGAGAATGAAAGAGAGAGAGAGGAATCAGAGAGAGGGGGGAGACAGAGAGAACAGTGAATGAGAGAGAGCGCGAGGAGAGAGTGAGAGGGCGAGAAGAGAGAGAGAGAGCGAGAGAGAGAGAGAGCGTGAGAGGGAGAGGGCTGCGTCTCTCTCGTCACTGACTCGTCACTGGACAACACACGGTGATAGAGCGAGCACACATAAACGTGGCAGCTTAGACACAATCGAGTTATTACGGTCGCGGGCGAGTCAGCAGAAACAACTATTGATCAAAAATGTTGTCGTCTGCGCGCGTTTTTGCATCGGTCGCGGTTGATACACTCTGCGATATAAGTATGGCTATGGTTGTCACGACATAGGTATGATTGCCTCTCGTACAGTCAGTGTTAGCTGACCGCCATGCATATACGCCCGCGCTTTACGGCGTGGCATGGCGTGACACAAAAGCACACGTGCCGAGCGAGCGTGCGTCCGTGTCATGAAATATACGTGATTTCATATGACGGCAGCATCTGTGTGAAGAAGTGGGTAGGTGAGAAAAAGAGGAAGAGAAAGAGGGAGAGAGAGAGAGAGAGAAGAGATGAGAAGACGAGAGGGAGAGAGCAAGAGATAGAGGAGAAAGAGAACACAGGAGAAAGAGACAGACAAGAGAGAGAGAGAGAGAGGGAGAGAGAAAGAGAAAGAGAACACGAGAGAGAGAGAGAGAGTGGGAGAGGGTGAAGAGAGAGAGAGAGAGAGAGAGAGAGAGAGAGAGAGAGAGAGAGAGAGAGAGAGAGGGGAGAGGTGAGAGAGAAAGGAGAGGATCCTAGTATCCAATAGGCAATATGTAGAACGCGGCCGTACTTCTTGCATTATGACTGATAGTACCCCCTCTTGAATATATCATTACCGCATGAGGAAATAGGGCGAGCAAATCATGGTCTGTGGTACGTTAAACGCTTTATTCGCTTAGCGTATGTATTTGAAATCTCTAAAGTTTACCCGTTTTTATAGGAGGTTGCGGAGAGAAGAAATCGCGTTATGTATTCAGGTATGACCTACAAACTGATTTTTCGTTTGATGTGTATTATTGATCTGAAACCAATTGCGCTTCATCGTACGAGTGATCATTACGTTTGACCTGCTTTCGACTCATGTTGATCCTCAACTCGGAATCGAAAACAAACCCGAGCAAATATTTTTTCGCTCACACTACACACCGTTCTTAGGCGATATTTTCTTATATTCTCTCT